CCCGGATGAGATGCTAAAACAACAAATGGACATTAGGGAAAACCTGAATAATATATGGGCTTCATTAGTAATATTGTGTCAATATTGGTTAATTAATTTAGCATACTACGAAAGTATCATACTAACGTTAAAATGTGAACAATACGGGAAACAATACGGTATGGTTGTTAACCTCTTCTTTATATAATATGTACTGATGTGGTTTTGACAGTTTATATTTAGAAAATTAAATTATGAAAAACTAGCTGTATAAAGAAAAATTCTGGTAAAATTCGGAAAATATTCACATGTGGGAACTCTCCATATTATCTCTGCAACATTTGTATAAATCTAAAACTATTTTAAATAAAAAGTTTATTAAAATTAATTAAATGAAAAAGTAATGACAAGTACATATTTGTAAATTCCCATTACAAAGAATATTATTGCAAGGAAGTATCAAGTAGAATGGAACTAGAAGATAATAATATTAAGAAGGTGCTATGGGTCAAACGTGTCCCCCAAAAGTTCATGTGTTGGAAACTTGATCCCCACTGTAACAGTGTTAAGAAAGTGGAAAATCCGATTATGATATTTGAAAGGTGCGGCTTTTGGGAGGTGAATGGATCATTGTTGGGGACCTGAAGCCCCACACCCCTTCTTGTGAGACCGCTCCTCCTTGACAATCTGCTCAGATGGCCATGCTTTACATGATAACTGCCTCAAAATCTTTATGCCAGACTGATTGCTCCTGTATGCAAGTTAATTTGCAAGTGACCTTTTATGCTTCTCTAGAAACTGTTTAACCATAAACATTCTGGGTGGCAACCTTTACTTTGAATGTCCTGTCTTTGTTTTCATAGTTTCAGGGCTTACATTTAAGTACTTAATCCATTTTGAGTTGATTTTGGTATATGGTGAAAGATAGGGGTCTAGTTTCTCTCTTCTGCATGTGGATATCCAGTTTTCCTGGAACTGTTTATTGGAGAGGCATTCTGTCCTTTTCACACTGCATGTTCTCTGTCAAAGTGTCCTTTGTCAAAGATCAGTTGGCTGTAGATAATTAGATTTATTGTGGGGTTCTCTATTCTGTTCCATTGGTCTATGTGTCTGCTTTTATTCCAATACCAGTTTTAGTTTTCTTTAAGCTTTAGATACTGTCCAGGATCCTGTTTATAAAATGTTTTTCTTGCTTATATTATTTCTTTTATGAATGGTTTCATAGTGTCTGTTCATAGTTAATAGACAAAATTGAAATTATTTCTACAAATATACACTCTCAATGGTGTTTTTAATTAATATATCCACTAATTCTATGTATCAAAGTGATTTATTAGTAGCCAAACTTGCTAATTCTTTGTGTCACTACATATGAAAATTACACAGAATACACCAACCGTGTGCATATAGTATTATCCAAGAGAAAACAGATGCTCCACTGCAAAGAGTACATGGACTGAAGCAGAAAGCTGGATTCTATTTCTTGGATCTAGGAGTCTAACCCTAGAGAGCTCATTTCATCTCTCTGAACTTTAGCTATATATGGGGAATACTGAGTCACTAGGGTACCTATAAACAACCCCCATCCATTGTCTACCTCAGCTCAGAACCAAATGAGTGACAGGGGGACCCCATTAGGTTGAGATAACACACCTTCAGTGCTGTATCCTCTGATACTTACAAGGTCATCTGGAACTTGGGTTAGGTATGTGGCCAGACTCAGTACATAAGAACCAAATGAGTGACAGGGGGACCCCATTAGGTTGAGATAACACACCTTCAGTGCTGTACCCTCTGATACTTACAAGGTCATCTGGAACTTGGGTTAGGTATGTGGCCAGACTCAGTACATAGCCATGGAACAGGCATACATCTTGGCCGATGATTGACAGGACTAGACACCCAGAGGGCTCCCAAAATAAGCAGTGTCCTTTCACCACGCAGTGAAGACCACTCCAGATCATATACTCCCAGCAAGCAGGCAGCTCCCAAAGTGAGGAGAGAGAGGTACGGAGCTGAGCCCTGTTCCTTCTTCTAAAGGTTACTTCCCCTGTAGGGCAGAGGGAGAGAGGGATGGATTGAAGCAGAGATTAAGTTTTCCCCCTTCACAGGAGCATTGAGCTACATGAGGCAGAATACCCCTTCAAAGAACCTCAAGATTGTGTGGTTCGGGAAGGGGAAAAATTGTATTTTAAATAAAAATGCTCACATTTTATATCAAAGTGGGCTATTGTTAAGATGTGTTATGAGTTATGAATTATTTGTAATATGTCTAAATAACTCATGATAAAAAGTAACAAGCCTAGTAAAATCCTATTCACTTTTTTTGGAATTAATAGTTTTTCTAGGAATAAGCAAAAAGGTAAATCTTCACTGATAAACTATATTAATATTTACATACTCCATAAATTCTGTTAGGACCCTCCAACAAGAGATAATAAAGAGAACGTGTCTCCAAGCCGCCACGTGCTAAATTCTTTAACAAATACTACAAAAATGTCGTGAGTACCTTAGCACAGCACTATATATGAAAACCAACATAGCAGTCTTTCTGGGCTTTGAAGTATGAATCACCTTTTCTCTTACTACTTTAAGAAAGTTCAAAGGGACAAAACAGTACATGAGGCATTTGACTGAAGCAGGATGGCTTTCATAGTGTGAAATCAGGGGTCTGAGGGGGCGTTCCCGCTCCTCTTCCTTCCAACATCATTGGGCTTCACAGAATAAAACTTCTGCGACTGGTTTTCCAGAGGTTAGTTTATGACTTTATTTAAACCACTCAAAATATTTTTAAAGGAACAAAGTGGATGCATAGAAAATCCCTATAGGTAAAGATGAAAATATAGCATTAAAATGCAATATTAAGATCAGAGGATATAAAAACTAGAGTTAGGACTGTAGTTTGGGAGGAAATAGATAAGACATACGACCCTTCGCAGTTTTATATTACACCATAAATTTGCCTTCAAGTTTCCCATTTCCTACTCATAAAGAAAAACATGGCCTTTTGCTTGACATTTCCCAACATTGAAACACGCTTTAGTATTTTCTGAGTACAATTTGTGTCGATCTTCAAATCCCCTCAAACTACCTCCCAGTTTTTACAATCCCCTTCAGCACACAGTGTTTGAAGAGGCTTCTGTGGCTGCTGCCCCAGCTCCTCAGTTCCCTTCTCTCCTCAGTCCACCTCATGAAGCTCTGTCCTGATGCTCACCTGGAACTGCTACCTTGAAATTCGCCACTGACCTCCCAGCGCCAGATCCAATGGTAGAACTCCTGCCCCCCTCCTAGAATTGCACTATCCTCCCTTTCAGATGCTGTCTTCTGGAACTTGTCTCTCCTGCTTTTCTTCCTCTTCCTTCCTTCGCTCTGCGCCCTGATGCCAGTGAGCCTCAGCACTCGGCTCCAGCTTTCCTGACCTGCTCCCCTTCTTCAGCTCACTCCCTCCCAAGAACTCTTCCAGACCCGCAACTCTCTGTATCTTTTTTATGCCGGAGACTTCAAAATGTCACTCACTGTCCTTCACCCAGAATAATGGCAAATGCTTTGAGCTCAAAATCCCCTAAATGTAGCATAAATATTTCCTTTTCTCCTTCTCTGTGGCTGAAGTCTTAATCCAAACCATTTGGACTATTGTGGTGGCTTCTCACCTGGCCTCGTGCTTCCGCTCCTGCCCCACTGCCCTACAGTCCATCCCCCAAAGTTTCCCATTCCACTTAGAATAATTTCTAAACTCTTTACTGTGCTCTTGAAGTCCCTGTAGGGTTTGGTCCCTACTAGGTCTTCTCTCCTCATCCTTCTGCTCCTCCAACAGTCCGCGCTGGTCACAGCTTGAGGCTATGCATTTGTTCCTGTTCTCTGCAGCCAGACCTCAGTCTTGCTTGGCTCCTTTATGGCAGAGGCTCTCAGCTCAAATGTCACCCCTCTGGGAGGTCTCCCCCAAGTGCTATTTAAATCAGTGGTTAGCACAATCACTGTATCTCATCACTCTCTTCTAGCTTCTGAATGGCTTTTTCCATTCTCTGAAATTGTTCCCTTCTTCGAATTGTTTCCTTGTTTGTCATCTGCCTCTCCCGCCAGAATGTAGCCTTCACAATAACAGACGCATTGTGTTCTTGCCTCCATTCCCAAGAATGGTGCCTGGCACATTGTAGGTGCTCAATGACTTTGTTTCCTTGTTTGTCATCTGCCTCTCCCGCCAGAATGTAGCCTTCACAATAACAGATGCATTGTGTTCTTGCCTCCATTCCCAAGAATGGTGCCTGGCACATTGTAGGTGCTCAATGACACTTGCTGTAGGAAGGAATTGCAAAGTTTTCATTATCCACAGGGAGAAAAAATTTCTTTTGGAAGCCCAAATTTTGTGAGCTAAACTGAAAAATAAACAGCAGACATGGGAATTAATCTCCTGAATGATGTTTCTAACAGGACCCCTGTAGCTGGTGCACCAACAACTACACCAGGTGCTGCTTGTGTGTCCTCAGTGAATGCTGTGACTATGCACTCCAAGGCAACGTTATAAGAGAAATCTGTAAAAGTTCAAGCAATAAAGTCTGAGCTTTCTGGTTTCTGATTATTCAGCTTGATCCAGGGATGAAACCTATAATAGCTGTAGGAACTAGTAGAAGGTGTATCTTCAAAGAGTTCTCCATAAATATGATTTCTCTGACCCCACTCTGGATAGTTAGGCAGTCTGTACTTCCAACATACAGAGCTTACTCCCTGGCCCAGGTAAAGGCCTGAGGCACAGGGATGTCGACCCTTCTAGAAATAAGATGTCATACTATCCACCTTTTCCAAAATTGCAAGAAGGTGAGAACGATCTTCTCTATGGCTATGGGACACTATGTAATTGCACATTAAAGGATGCAGGGGTGACAGACTGCACCCCCTGGGGGTTGGGTGTCTTCGTTGAGAGAGGGAGTGAGGCACCCAGCTGTAGAACAGCACAGGGAGCATAAGAAATGGTGAAGAGATATGGAAAAGCCGTGAAGATGCCAGTGCAGAGAGGCCTGCCTCACCACACAGCTCGTGTGCTCGTCCACACCAGCTCCAACAGCATCCTCCTCAAGACTACAGCTTTTCTCTTGCCACAGTCCAAAATCAGATCTGTATGTCTCCATGATCGGTGACCTCCCTACCCTTAGCTAGTCTGGTTGAAATGAATTTCTTCTGTCTTCCTGATATTTGGAATCTACAAATGTGGCTTCCAGCACTGATGTCCTGCAGTCCCTAGATGCCACCAAGCAACTCCTCATGCATTTCTTTCTCCCACCCGTAACAAATGCCCATCCACACTGGGGCTTCTTTGGGTCAGACTTTCTCATTTTTCTCTGTATTCCTAATGGGGAGAATAAGGCCATACATGCAGGAAGAGGATCTGAACGAATGAAGGGGTGAGGGAATAAACCCAGGAGGAGTTGGTGAAGGGCAAATGTACAGATGAAGGACATTGAATTATGACATGAATGCTTTTCCATTGCAGCCTGCCAGGAAAACCTGAAACAGAAAATCTCACTTCGCAAAAGCCAGCCTCTAGGTGACCTGGCAGAGAAGTCCCTAGTTGAGGCACCAAAGAACACATTTTACCTGTCTTTTCCTGTAGCTTTTTCATTTGCAAAATGGGTTTGTGATAATGCTTGTTAACCAGGCAATTCAGGAAGGCTGTGATGAATAGCCCGGGAGTAACAGAAGCAGGAACATCTTGCCAACTCAGTGTCTGGCTCTCCTCCAGGGGCAATGCTGGTAGCATTGAAAATGAACACAAAAGCAGTTACAGAGAGTGACCTGACACAACACATTCAATTCACAGATGGACCCTTTTAACAACAACAAAAAAAAGCAGAATAAAGTATTTGATCACAGGATTACATTAACCATTCTAATTTAACCCACCATGGGTTGAAGCAGTATGAAATGAGGAAAGAAAGAAACAAATAGGAAACGAAAGAAATGAAGACAAAAAGGGAGTTGACCTTCAGCAAGTTTTATCCTCAAAGAGCAATAGAATCTGCCCCAAGATACTGTATCAGCCACTACGGTAACAGCACGCTACGGTGGTGCTTAGAAAACAGCCGAGGGATGCAGATACAGATAAAAAAGCACAGCACTTATACTGCGTTTTTCAGAAGATTTGGCACATGGTAATTCATTTCATCTTTATTTCAAAACAGACATTTTATTTCCTTAGAGGAGAAAGTTCATAGCTCACGTGTTCATTGTAAAAGAGTCATCACAAGCCTCACACTTCACATCAACTACTCATGTTTAATCTCTATGCCACCTACCATTGGACCAAAATTCTCAGATATTAAAAGTGTACATTTCAAAAGCAATTACATAAAAAACAAGTTTACCTACATGAAATAATTACCTCTGTATGAAAAAGATAAAAAATTGAGAAAAATGATAAAGTGAGAAAAAAGAAGTTGCATCATGTATAACATGAATTTGAAGATTAATATTTCCAGTATATAAAGAATATCTAAGAATCAATAATAATAAGCTAGTAGACTAAGAAAAATTAAAATCTGGCATTCCCAGCGAGGAATAAATAAATATAATGTTTATTATAAATAAACATATAAATACAATGTTTATAAATGTTTATTAAGCATATCAAAAGACATTTAACCTCACTAGTGCTTTAGGGAAATGCAAGGTTTTTTGACTCATTATTTCAGAAAAAGGCAAGTGGAAGGTGATTTTTTAAACACTATTAGTAGGAGCATGAATCAGTACAGCTGTTTGGAAGAGTACTTTGGTATTACTAAGAGCTAAAATATCTATCCCCTATTATTCACCAGTTTAGTTTCTTGGTACTCATTCTAGAAAAATATTTGCACATTTGCAGTAGAAGGCAAATAAAAGGATACTAAGTGAAGCATTATCTGTTATAATAAAAATTAGAAACATTCTAAATGTCGACTAACAGAACAATTGTTAAATAAGCCTCAGTATAGGCATGTCATGGAACACTACACAGTAGGACAGAGAAAACACATAAAAATAAACTTATATATACATATATATATATATATATATATATATATATATATATATATATATATATATATATATATATATATATATATATATATATATATATATATATATATATATATATATATATATATATATATATATATATATATATATATATATATATATATATATATATATATATATATATATATATATATATATATATATATATATATATATATATAATGGAGAAATGTATAAAAAGGATTGAAAAGAAAACCAAATTTATATTTAAAAATACAAAGGGAAGTTTCACATTTTATAAATACATGCAAAGCTATATACTGTACATGTATTTAATTTTTTTTAAAAGGAACAAAACAGAATGCAAAACTAAATTTGTGGTAGGACCCCAGGACTAAAAGGGTTGATAATATTGGTGATGTTTCTTTTTCTTCTGTTTATGTTTTAAAGTAAGAATGCAATACTTTATTACTTGAGTGGTTTTAACTAATAGATGATATATTGTAAAAGAACAGCCAGAGGAAATTAACAGAGAAGAACATACAAAAGACTACAGGTTAAATAATTTTAACATCTCTCTAATATTCAGATGAATTAAAAATAAAAAAATAGATGACATTTTCACATGTACAACTCATAAAAATGTTGGAAGAGGTTTTGAGAAATAGATTCTCTATTACAAATTGTTGGAGAGAAATTGATACAATCTTTATGGAAGGTAATTTGGCTGTGCATCTCAAAATTCATATTTTCCTTAGATGTTAACCCAGCCTAAGAATTTATCTCACAGAAATACTTACAAACATGCAAAGACATATGTGTATGAATGTTCATTATAGTGTTATATGCATAGCTGGGAGAAAAAAGAGGCATCCACGTGAGATTGGCTATTTTAATTCCATGATATGAATCATGAGATACCCAGTTAAAAAATGAGAATGTACTAAAGTAACAAGACTGGTATGTAACAATTGTGTAATACTGAATAAACTTATTCTTAGGTGTCCTATTAATTTTGCTTGAGAGAAAGATGTATTTGACTAATTTTCCTTGACTTTCTTGAAGGGTGCCTTTAACCAGATATAAATTGTGGAAGAACGTGTAAAGTCGTCTTTTATTTTTAATCTACCTTTTTATAGAGTATATTTAATTAAAGGATGGCAGCTCATAACCAATACACCCCAGGAATACTCTTCCAGTTGGGTCATAAAGAGACTTCTACTTGCTATTTAATATATTTTTATAATCAGTTTTTTATTTAATATACACATAATGCTATCTTCATTTAGTACATAGGAACATTCCACAATTAGTTCTGTAGATTAATACAGTAAATAGGTAATTTTAATTGTATAGCTGAATGGGGGCCAAACATTTTTTTTTCTTTTACTTATTTACTTTTTATTTTTATGTATACATACTTATGGGGTACAGAGTTGGCTATCAGTATTTGTGCACAATATGTGATGATCGTATCAATATTATCAGCATGTTCATCATTACAAATCGTTACAACTTTTTGTGTCCCTTACCCAGTTACTCCCTGTCTATCTTCCCTTCCACTCTCCCTTTCCCACCTCTAGTAACTACAGGTCTTTTCTCTCCTTCTGCAAGTTCAACATTTTATTATGGTCTTTCTTTCTTTATTAGCTCCCATTTATGAATGAGGACATGTGGTGTTTCTCTTTCTATGCCTGGCTTATTTCACTTATCATAGTTTTCTCTAAGCTCACTCACGTTGCTGCAAATGGAAGAATTTTCATTCTTTTTATGGCTGAGTAGTATTCCATTTTATACAGATACCACATTTTCCTTATCCAGTTGTCCACTGATGGACATTTAGATAGCTTTTGTATCTTGGCTATTTTAAATAGAGCTGCGATAAACATGGGAGTTCAGGCATCCCTTTGACATGGTGATTTTTATTCCATACAGATACCACATTTTCCTTATCCAGTTGTCCACTGATGGACATTTAGATAGCTTTTGTATCTTGGCTATTCTAAATAGAGCTGCGATAAACATGGGAGTTCAGGCATCCCTTTGACATGGTGATTTTTATTCCTTTGGGAATATACCCAGAAAAGGGATTGCTGGATAGTATGGTAGTTCTTTCTGTACTTGTATGAGAAAACTCCATACTGTTTTCTATAATGGTTATACTAATTTACAGTCCCACCAACAACATAGACAAGTTCCCCTTTCTCCACAACCTCGCCAGCATATGTTATTCTCAGTCTTTTTAATAATGGCCAATCTAACTGGGGTGAGATGATATCTCCACATGGTTCTGATTTGCATTTCCCTGATAAGTAGTGATGCTGAACACTTTTTCACATACCGGTTGGCCATTTGTACATCTTCCTTTGAAAACTATCTATTCAGCTCCTTTGCCCATATGTTAATTGGATTATTTGTCTTTTTAATTGATGTGTATTGATTGCACATATGTATGGGGTACAGATTTATATTTCAGTACATATATGCAATGTGTGATAATCAAATTAGAATAATTGGCATATTTATCATAGGAAAATTTATTGTTTACTTGTGATTAGAGGATTTGAGCACCTCTCTTCTAGACATTCTGTTTAATATATTTCTATAAACTTTTCCTCCATTGATATGTATTATTTTTGTATTTTCAAAGTATTTGGATGACATAGTATGACTACCCCTCTCTCTTTTCTTATATTATACCTGAAAGCACCTATTTCCCTAACCTAGGTAATGGCTTTACATGTCCTTTAAGACCTACTGTTGCAAAATTAGATTAGTGCAATTAATTAATGTGAAAGGTAAAGATGAAATGGTAGTTGATATAGAAACCTGACAGATTCCCATGTCTCTTCCTTCTAGCCCTTATATTCAAGGCATGACTGCAGCTAATTTTAACTATATGATCTCAGTTTTCAAGCCAGACAGTTATTAATTTATTCATTGATTAATTCACTCTTTCATCCATGCATCTAATTGGTAAGACAATAGATCAAGTAGCTATTCTACCCATTTCCACTATTCAGAAGAAAAGCAGGATTGTAAAAAATTCTTTTAAGTAACAAAATCACCATAGTTACAATAGTTTAGAAAAAAAAAAGTGTTTGGTAAAATGAAA